GAGCCCGCGGACAAGGGTGGCCCTGGAGCCCCCAAAACCCAGCAAAGCCCCGGCACGGCCTGACACAACTCAGCAGAGCACGACAAAGCCTGAGAAAGCCATGTCCCGCCTGGCACAGCCTGCAACAGCCCCAAGAAACCCGGCATCCCAAAGCACAGGCTCGCGCGGCGCTACCTGCCTCGGCACAGCCCCGAACAGCTCAAAACAGCCGAACGCAAACTGGCACAGCCTAAAACAGCCCCAAACAGCCCAGCAAAATCTGAAACAGCCGAAAAAAGCCCAGCACAGCCTGGCATGACCTGAAAAAGCCCAGCTAGCCCAGTACAGCCCAAAACCGCTTGACAAAGCCCAAAACAGCTCTGCAGAGCCCAGTCCGGTCCGGAACAAGCTGCCATAAGCCCAGAACAGCCCAGCGCAGCCCCAAAAATGCCCAGCACAGCCCAGCACCACCCGACAAGCCCGGCACAGCACCAAAAAGCCCAGTATAGCTTAGACCAGCCCAAAACAACTCGAAACAGCCTGACAAAGCCCAGTCCAGCCTGAAATAGCCCAGCATAGCCTGAAATAGCCCCAAAAAGCTCAGCACAGCCTGGCACTGCCTGAAAAAGCCCAGCACAGGTCAGAAGAGCCCAGCATAGCCCAACACAGTCTGGCACAGCCCAAAAAAAACCCCAGCACAGCCCAAAATAGTGCAGCGTAGCCCAGCACAGCTCGGACTAGCCCGAAAAAGGCCAGAGCACCCCAAAACACCCCAGCACAGCCTGAAACAGCCCACTACAGCCCAGCACTGCCTGACAAAGCCCAAAAAGACCCAGCACAGCCCCCAAAAGCCCAGCACAGCCCAATACAGACTGAAAAAGCCCAGCCCAGCCCAGCCCTGCATAGCTTGGTAAAGACCAGCACATCTTGGCACCAGCTGCTGCTGCCCAGCTCCACCGGGAAAAGCCCAGCACAGCCAAGCACAGCTCAGCACAGCCCAAAACAGCTCGACACAGCCTGACACAACCCAGCACAGCCCAAAACAGCCCTAAAAAGCCAACAAGAAGTGCCCAAAAGCCCAGAAAAGCCTCAAATAGTCCAAAAAAAGGCACCAAAAAGTAGCCAAAAAAGCCTGGAAAAAGCTCCCAAAAGGATGAAAATGCCCTCCAAAATCCCCCAAAGCCCCCAAAGACAAAAAAAGCCCATGAAAGCCCCCAAAAAGACAAAAAAAAGCCCAAGAACTGAGGGAAAGCCTCCCAAAGCCCCCCAAAACCAAGAGACCCCCCAAAAGCCCAAAAAAGCAAAAAAAAAAAAAGGATCCAAAAAGCCTGAAAAGGCCTAAAATGCCCTCAAAAGCCCCCTAAATCCCTCACCCCCCCCAAAGCCTAGCATAGACTACCACAGCCCAAGAAAGCCTGGAAAAGCCTGGAAAAGCCCCCCAAAACCCCCAAGCATCCAAGAAATCCCCTCCAAACTCCCTAAAGGCCAAGAAAGCCTAAAAAAGCCTCAAAACACTCAGAAAGCCCCCCAGAGCCCCCCCCACACCCAGAAAGCTTCAAAAAGCCCCCAAATCCTGAAACAGCCTGAAAAAGCCCCCAAAAGAGAGAAAAGGCCCAGCACAGCCCAAAAAAGCCTGAAGAACCTCAAGAAGTCTGAAAAAGCCCAAGAAGTCTGAAAAAGCCCCCAAAAGCCTGAAAAGCCTTGAAAAAAACCAACAGAGCCCTCAAAGCACCAAAAAAGACCAAAAAATGTCAAAAAGAGCCAAAAAAGGCCAAGAGTAGAACAGAAAACCTGAAAAAGCCCCCCAAAGCCAGAAAAAGCATAGAAAAGTCCTCAAAAGCCAAGAAAGCCTAGAAAAGCCTGAAAAAGTCCAGAAAGTCCCAGAAAGCCAAAAAGCCCACCAAAAACCAAAGAAGCCCAAAAAAGCCAAAAATGTTCCCAAAAGCCCCCAAAGCTCCCCCAGCCCCCAAAAGCCCAAGAAAGTGGAAAAGGCCCTCAAAGGCCCAGAAAAAGTGCACAAAAATCCAGAAAAGTACTCCAAAAAGCCCAGAAAGATCCAGCATAGGCTGGTACAGCCCAAAAAAACCATGAAGAAGCCTGAAGAACTATGAAAAACACTGAAGAAACCACAAAAAGCCCCCATAAGAGCCCCCAAAAGCCCAAGAAACACCAAAAAGCCTCCAAAGCTTCCCAAAAGACCCAAAATGCCCCAGAATGCCCAAGAAAGCCCCCAAAGTCCAAAAAACCTGAAAAAGCTCAAAGAAGCCCGAAAAAGCCCAAAAAAGTGCCAAAACACCTGAACAAGCCTGAAAGTCCCAAGAAATCAATCCCAAAAAGAAAATGCCCCTAAAAGCCTGGAAAAGGCCGAAAAAGGGCAAAAAATCCCAAGAGAGCCCCAAAACACCCTCAAATACCCTCAAAAGCTCGGAAAAGCCCCAAAAGGCCCCCCAAAAAGTCCCAAAAGCTTCCCAACCTCCCAAAAGTCCCAAGAAGCCCAAGAAAGCCCAGAAAAGAATGAAAAAGCCCTAAAAAGCCCTAAAATGCCTGAAAGAGCCCAAGAAATCCGAAGAAAGTTCAATAAACCCTGGAAAAGCTCAAGAAAGCCTGAAAAAAAAAGCCTGCTCAAACCCCTGAAAAACCTCCAAAGCCCCAAAAAGCCCACAAAACCCCCCAAATGCCCCCAAAAGCCCCCCCAAACCCCCCAAAAGCCCAAGAAAGCCTAAGAAAGCCCCAAATGCCAGAAAAGCTTGGAAAAGTCCAGGACAGACCAAAAACCCCAGATAAGCACCAAAAGCCTGGAAAAGGCCCCCAAAAGCTCAAAAATGCCCAGGAAAGCCATAAAAGGCAAATAAAACCCTCCAAAAGCTCCCCAAAAGCCCTCCCAAAAAACAGAAAAGCCCTGAAAAAACAAAGAAAAAGTCCCAAAGCCCCAAAATATCCAAAAATGTGCCAAAAGACCCCCATCATCCAAAAATGCTTTGAAGAAGAAAGCCTGAAAAAGCCCAAGAAAGTCTCAAAATGCTCAAAAATCCCAAGAAATCCCAAGAAATCCCAAGAAAGCCCCCAAAACCTGAAAAAGCTTCCCAAAGCCCCCCAAAGCCCAGAAAAGCTCAGGAAAGCCCCCAAATCCCAAGAAAGGCTAAGAAAGACCAAGAAAACTCCCACAACTAGAAAAGCCAAAAAAGCCCTCAAAAGCCCAGAAAAAACAAAAAAGCCACAGAAAGCCCCCAAAAGCCCCTAAACACCTGGAAAAGCTCAAGAAAGACCCCAAAAAGCCCTTCAAAGTTCTCCAAAGTCCAAAAAGGCCCCCCAAAGCCCCTCAAAGTCCCAAGAAGTCCAAGAAAGCCCCAAAAAGCTCAAAAAAACCCCAAACATCCCCCAAGGCCCAAGAAATCTGAAGAAGCCCCCTCCAAAGCCTCTAAATACCCCAAAATGCCCAAAAGTTCCCCATAGCCCTAAAATGCCCAAGAACACCCCGAAAATCAAAGAGAAAGACCAAAAAAAGCCAAAAACACTCCCCAAAGCCTGAAAATCCCAAGAAATCCACAAAAATCTGGAAAAGCCCCAAAAATCCCTCCAAAGCCCCCAAAAGCCTGAAAAAGCCCAAGAAAGCCCCTGAAAGTCCAAGAAAGTCCAAGAAAGTCCAAAAATGCCAGAAAAAGTGCAAAAAAGACCAGATAAGCACCCACAATCCCAAGAAAGCTCAAGAAAACCCAAAAATGCCCAGGAAAATCATAAAAGGTAAAAAAAGAGAGCCCCCCCCAAAGGTCCCCCAGCAAAGCCTAGTGTAGCCCAGAGCAGCCTGAAAAAGCGCAGCAAAGCCCAGCACCACCCGATGCAGCCCAGCCCAGCCCAGTATAGCCCAGCACAACCCGGCACAACCCAACGCAGCCTTGTGCCACCCAGCAAAGCCCAAAACAGCCCAGTGGCGATGGGGACAGGGACCAGCTGCGGACTGCGGCATGGGGACATGGACTGACTGGGGGTCAGAGGGGCACAGACAAGGACCAAGTGGATAGGGTTGTGGGCTGGTTGAAGTCAGTTGCACGAGGACTTGCTGGGACAAGGGATGGGGACCGGGACCGGCTGGGGATGTGGGAGACAGGGACCAGTTGGCGAACAGGGAGACAGGATGGGGAAAGGCTGGGGCTGAGGGGGACCAGGACCGGCTGGGGATGGGGACATGGACCAGCTGGGGACAGGGACGGGCACCTGGACCGGCTGCGGGCAAGGAGACAGGGATGGGGACCAGCTGGCGGTGAGGGGCACAGGGAGCAGCTGGGGATGGGAACAAGGACCAGCTAGGGATGGGATGGGGATCTTCTGGGGACTTTGGGACAAGGACTTGAATGTCGTCATGGATGGGTATGTGCTTTTTAGGCAAGACAGGCCAGGAAGGCGAGGTGGTGGAGTTGCCCTTTATGTGAGGGAGCAACTAGAATGTATAGTGCTCTGCCTGGGGTGGGGTGGGGTGGATGAAGAGCAAGTTGCGAGCCTATGGGTAAGGCTTAAAGGGGCGGCTAACGTGGGTGACATGGAGCTGGTGGGGGGGGGGGGTTGCGAGCCTATGGGTAAGGCTTAAAGGGCAGGCTAACGTGGGTGACACGGTGGTGGTGGGGGGTTTACTGCAGGCCACCCGATCAGGAAGAGGCAGTCGAGGAGGCCTTCTACAGACAGCTGGAAGTAGCCTCACGCTCACAGGCCCTGGTTCTCATGGGGGACTTCAAGCACCCTGACATCTGCTGGGAAGAGAAAGCCCAGCTAGACACAAAGAGTCGAGGAGGTTCCTGCAGAGCATTGAGGAGAACTTCTTGACCCAGGGGGTGGCGATGCCAACAAGGAGAGGTGTGCTGCTGCACCTGGTTCTAACAAACAAAGAAGGTCTAGTTGGAGACGTGAAGGCTGGGGGCAGCCTTGGCTGCAGTGACCGTGCGATGGTAGAGTTCAGGATCCTGCGAGGAGGAAGCAGTAGAATGGCAACGCTGGACTTGAGGAGAGCTAACGTTGGCCTCTTCAGGGACCTACCTAGGGGACTGTCATGGGGTAAGGCCCCAGAAGGAAGGGGGGTCCAGGAGAGCTGGTTAACATTCAAGTATCACTTCCAGCAGGCTCAAGACGGGTGCATCCCGCTGAGTAAGAAGTCGAGCAAAGTGGGCCGGAGAGCTGCATGGCTGAGCAATGCAGCAAAACTCCTGCACAGACTCCTTCTGTGTGAGTCCTGGCAAAACTCCAACAGAAGAAGGAAGTCTACAGAATGTGGCAAAGGGGACAGGCCACTTGGGAGGAACATAGGGACGTTGATAGAGTGTGCAGGGATGCGACAAGGAAGGCTAAGGCCCCTTTGGAATTAAATCTGGCAAGGGATGTCAAGGAGACTAAGAAGGGGTTCTTCAAATACATCACTGGCAAAAGGAAGACTAGGGAAAACTCCAGACCCTGGGGACAAGAGAGAACGTCTGGAGAAAGGAAGACTCCTCCCCTTGGTGCAGGAGGATGGAGTTAGAGATTATTTGGGCAAACTTGACAGCCACAAACCCATGGGCCCGCTGGGATGCACCCCCCCGCCCCCCACCCCTGAGTGCTGCGGGAGCTGGAGGATGTTATTGCTAGGCCGCTCTCCATCATTGTGGCAAGGTCCTGGAGAACAGGAGAGGTGCCTGAGGCCTGGAAGAAAGCCAGCGTCA